AAAATGATCAATTAAACCACTTACCACCGGCCGATTTTAAAATCATTTGGCTCGGTCAGAGTTTTGTCGGCACTATACCGAAAAAACCAGTCCCGTAACTCAAACCGTTTCCTTGATTAAGCCAAACCTTGAGATTATTAGTATTGATTCTGTGATTAAATATATTTTTTGATTATAATGTTATGATCGTACAAAATCTATTGTATTCCAGTATTTTGAAATGGATTGGAGATGTTAAAAACAGGTTTATAATTTGTTTCACTCCTGGATTAAAAGCTTGAATATAATATATTATACACTATACAGTCTATATTACAGAGATTACAGTCGACCACGCATTTGACCAGTGCTGCAGAACAGAGAGGTGCAGCAAAATGGTATCAAATCAATCGGTCATGATGAATAGTGGAGTGATTGTAATTTGTGGGCCGGGCTTCTCATAATAATTAATAGCACATGACTTTATGATCATACTCCAAAAATAAACTGTTTTCAATATCAGACCTCTTAGCTTGCATTCTTAGATGGGCCAAACATTTGAAATTTCTTATGAGATCTGACATGAAATAACCTACTGATGATTGTGGGAGACATGGAGTTACAGCACGTGTACATTTTAATTGCACTACCTTCCTTACCAACGTCTAAAACAGTTAACTTCTTTACCATTGTTTACATTCGAGCCTGCTAACTTATGAAATTTGTTGCCTGAAGAGATACGGGTGGCTCTTGGACTAAACGGAAACCTATCTAAGCTTTTTCTTCAATTACGTTCCGCAGATTCCACCATTGTCCAATACTTGGGTGCTTTGCGCTTGCTGGAAACTCAATAATAGGCTTGGCGGGTACCCAAGCGTGCTGTCCACAGCCATTGTGAGCACCGTGACACTCCTATTGAAAATACAAAAGTTAAGCAAAATAAGTTCGTTAAAGTTCTTAACTCCGACAGTAGCTTCTTGCATCTGCACTATGCAGTAGGGTCATATCTTATTAGCTACTGACACGTACTTACCTTTACTTCCTTGAATCTTCCTATCTTAAATGAAACGGTTATTTACATACTACATAGTCTCTTAAAATTGCAATCAAATTTGCAGAGGTAGGTTCAAACATTTAACCATTTAGTCAACTGGTTATGGATTAGAGGGCGATAGGCGATAACCGTCTCGTACACATAGATAGTCACGTGGTGTGATATTTTAAGTCACGTGGTGTGATATTTTAAGTCACGTGGTGTGATATTTTAAGTCACGTGGTGTGATATTTTAAGTCACGTGGTGTGATATTTTAAGTCACGTGGTGTGATATTTTAAGTCACGTGGTGTGATATTTTAAGTCACGTGGTGTGATATTTTAAGTCACGTGGTGTGATATTTTAAGTCACGTGGTGTGATATTTTAAGTCATGTGGTGTAATCATGAGCGTGTGATTGAGTTGCTGCACGTTTAAAAGGTATACCTGCTCTTCCTCGCTCATTTAGCATGACATTACAACTATCACAGTGCCAGCAAGCACGACCGCCGCCATTATACTCACTATACTATTTACCCCCTTTACTGTTTTTCAGGCATTAAGACTCACCGAAAGTAGTTCAACAGGCATATTTTAAGTTCAAAACATTCTAATTCAATGTCAAAGATGACAGGAATAAGAAATAGTTATGTGGAGGTTTTTAAGAAATTTGCGCGAAATTTGCGAAATTCGGTAAAAAATCCCAAAATCGCTATATTCAATTTCAGGTGCCTTAAAAACCATGTCAAAATTGAGTTAGAGATCTGAAATTTTTCAGGGCTGCTAAATGTTGACCAAATCGACTGTAAAAAAATTTCAAGTTTCAGAAGTATCGGGAAGTGGGTTTTCTGGAACCCCTGTTTTACAACAGATTGTCGTGAAGTATATACATATATATACAAATTAAACGACCGGTTGACTGGTTGAGTCAGACAAATGTTTCAATCATGATATAAAACCATGATATCATCAGTGATTCGCTATTGAAGTTAGTGCTGTTTTAAAGAATAATTTTATAAAAATACAAAAGTTGTGATTTAGTATTCTCTGGTGTTGGGCCATCCCTTGGGTTGTGGAGCTCAGTTCTGCTTTCTATAGGTCTATATTGTGCATTAGGCTAGTTTAAAAGTTGAAAATCAAAAATTTGCACGCGTGGGGACACACCCAAATTGATATATAATTGCTAAAATCACTGAAAATTTTGCTCATTCGTGATTTCGATTAGATTCTGCTTTCCCATGACAGTTAAATGGTATTAGATATGAATTTAATGCCAACTTGAATGAGTAAAAAGTGGCATATTCAGTCAGTGATCGACAGATATGCTTACCTAAACACAAGGAAATGTTATCAAAGGTAAAATTTCGAAATCGTTGAAATTACCTCCTTATTAATGAAGTTATGAGTTTACATTTCGACTTTTTAAAGTACCCTGACATTAATCAAAAAGAGATGATATTTGACCAAAACCCATAATCTGTACTCGGCAATAAAGATTCAATAAACATCAGCTAATTGGACACTAACTACCACCCTTATCCCGAAATACTAGGTATCGACCCGGAAGCAACCCGAAGAGATTTTTACAGCATGTGATTGATGTAATTAATCGAAACTTGTTACAATTCGTAAGCCGTGACTGAATGGGAAAAGCGAGCGACCGATTTCATTTTCGGTATCATTTTGCATTTGCGGACGGTTATTCAAATTAATATCATTTCCTCTTGTTTGGGAAAGAGAGACACTGGCACTGGCAGCCGTCCACTTTACCCATGATTATGGGTTTTGGTCAAGTATGAATCTCAGAAAGAAGAGAGCTTTAAAGCACTCGTCACGTGACAAAGCACGGTAACAAACTCAATCACGTGATAATTGGGGGATTCAACTATTCTAACTAATCAATCATTACAACTTCCCTGAATCCTCCAACAGAACACGATTTAAAACGTGTATATTTTATAAGCTAACGTAGTGCAAATCAAATGAACTACCGATTGGATCACTTTGAACAATGAACATGTGTGAAGATCAAGAAAAAACGTCACGCTAATATTACTACTTCTAATACTACTACTACTACTACTACTAGTAATAATAATAATGATACAACTGTTACTATTGATAGTTCTTTTATTACTAGTACTGGTAATGGGTATCCAGTCTAGCCACCAGCCATCTACTACCGTTATTATATTATTATAGTATCCTGGCAACTGGTATCCTGGCAACTGGTAAGTCATACCCACAGAAATTTCACACCTAATGCGAAACTTATTTAGCGTATCCAGTAACTCAAACTGATGCAATAAGTAAATGATGGTGAAGAGTAAAATTGTGCATCGGAAATTCGTAGAAGAGCCCTGAAAAAATGGTCACCTCCAAACCAACGATTACAAATCAAATTAAGTAGAATAAGTTGGATTTTATAGGACTACTACTATAGACTTGCACTTAGATGCACTAAATAAACTTTTGCCATATTGAACGTCTTATATTGATTCATTAATGTATCCGGTTAGGTGCCGGATCGTGGGGTAGGTGGTCTCCTGCACCTTTCCGTAAACAGCACAATAGATGGATTAATCAACAGCTACAAATACTGTACGAGTGATGGAAGTATTTTTAAATTTCTGGATCTGGCCTATTATCCGCCGCCTCGCGTCACTTATTGTCTTTTTAATCAATACACACGTGACACAGACGTTGTGTGCTAAAAATAGCCCCCAAAACAGGTCCATCAATTGCACAACTGCTGAATCCTGGAACTGTATGTGCTGCATTACACTGCACTGTCGGTGCTCATTCTACGATCTGATAGTTAGCGAGCGGCGGGTTATTCGTGAGAACTTAGAGAAAATCATCAGAAGCCTTCAAGAGAGAGATAAAGTATCAAATACAATCAATTTACTAGTATTTTAGTTTGGTATGTCAATAAAGTGCAACGATCACCCCGTATGAGGTACAAAACCCATCCTTCATAGTATGATGGATTTGTACCACATAATATATTATATTAACTTCGGAACAAAATGAGCTCTACATTTTACAAAATGAGCTAAAATTCTCAAAGTGCTCGCGTACAATTTACTCTTGATTACGTAATCCAATATTTCGTTTTATTAAAACCTATATTCATTAAACCACCCACGTTTTAGTAGTTATATAATGAAAGTAGAGGGTTCACTAATGTAGTAGGAGTATGGACCAACCAGTTCGTAAACTTGTGGGCTGAAATTATGACAAAACTCACGGTGAATCAAGCAAACACTCAAGAATATTATATTCAACCAGTATAAGTAGTGAATCATGTAAACCTAAGAACACCTATTACGGAGCCGATATTTACTAGAACACCCGCTAAGAGTGTCAAGTTACCTCATATCTAGAATCGTAGATGGACAATATTATGGTTTGGCATGAACCTTTGATATATTATAGTATAAATCGTTAAAATCAATGCATAAGGACCTCTTATTAGTCACCGTTCAGATCTAAAGTTTTGGGGATTCTGAAGAAACATAAATATAATGATACACAAAAAATAATTCAACGAATAAATAACAAAACAAGAACATATTTTGACCTTACAAAGGACGCGAACTTGAACACAGTAGACGGTTACAAAGCTTAACATGAATTAAAACTATGATCCGGAATTTAAAAACCACCGGCGTCTCGTTCACGTTTCTTTATAAGAAAATGTTCTTTCGCACCGTTGGAAGTTTTAAAATCGTTCGTGGTCGAGGCGGCTTTCAAAAAATTTGCGAATATTTAAAATAAACCATAAAAAATAACTTGAAGTGTAAGAATGGTGATGACTGATGGTGTGATCTGTTATATAAAAATCTGTGAAATAAATCATTACCTCCGTGGGTTCAACCAGTAACGACAGTCAAATAATTGTGTCTGGTAATTTCCCAATCCGGAAAAGTTCCTGAACACAACAAAAACACTATATGAAGTGAACATTTTCTAAATGTCTCACATACCTCATTGAGTCGGCTGAGCTGGGAAGAAACTTGTCCGAGGAGATCCAGACCGCTGATTGTGCCGGGTTCAACGTCTATAAACACATTCTCCAGTGATCCAGGAGATAAAATAGCTGAAATTTTTTTTGTTGTTAATTAGGTTTATGAAAACATTTTCAAGTGATCCAAAGGATAATAAAAGTAAAATTATTGCCCTTGTTTTTGCGGATTATTACCACATTTATCAGTGTCCCGACGGCCAAAAAATAACTGGCGTACTACTAACTTAATAAGCCAACAAATGTAGATCCAGAGAGCCCAAAATAGCTCGGAAAACATTTAGGGAGACGCAATATCATTTGGCACCCAGCAGACCTGGCCCATTTCCGGTCCAATGGTTCAGACTTCAGACAAAGATTAAAATAGAGCTAACTTAAAGATTGGCGAAAACTTATTTCTGATAATATTACAGTGTATGGTATTACATTAAGTCGAGAAACAAGAAGCCTTGGCACGGTAATGCATGGTTTTATCAACTGAGGGGTTTCAAAAATTCAACTATCACCCTTCAGCTCCTTTTTAGGCATTCAGTTATACAGCTCAGTGGCTGAGAAGTAAATTAATCATTATATTAATATTAGTTTTCATTAATTCAAAAACGAAGCTAAGAACTAGAAAAACTAAGACAAAAAAAAAATGTGGACAAATTAACGTTTACAAATTACGGTAGTATCCGCCGCCTACCACCCAAAATAGACCAATCCCACGGAATGAATCATGGGATACTGATCACTTTCGCTCCTCTGATTGGCTAATCGGGTGACGTGACCAGATTCCCCTTCCCTCATTGGCTCGTGATCACATTCCCCTCGTCTGATATGCAAGTCAGGTTTAGTACGTGGGGCAAAATCGAAAATTTAATTTGTATCTTAATTTTGATGTTAAGGTTGTCGACACATCCGCAGTCTACTGCAATTTATTTTGTTCCTTCACGGGATAATAATCTGCATAAAGTCAGATTTTAGTCTATCGGTACAATCTTCTACAAAGCTCAGGTGATTGTTCAATGTTCATGTTGGGTATTTGGGTTGAGTGACAGTGGCAGTGGCCATGCAAATTTGGTCAATCTTTATTATTTGTTCGTGGGTTTATAACTAAAAAGACTTACAAGTAACAACAAACTAAACGCATGATTTACAATTTCTCTCAGAAACATCAATTTGAACTCTACAACATAAAATTATGCAGCATTTTTGGATCATCAGAAGTTGATCAACTGATTGCAACACTAACGTAATGACAAGACGCAGATTGTAAAATAAATTTGAAGTTAATTTAAATTCACGCAAACAGTCAATTTAGTGGGCCACTTATATGCTTGGTATTTAAAGCTTTGACATTATTTCGAGAATTTCGTAGAACTTTTTGACTTAGATTTCGTGGAATTAATTGCCATAATATTTCATGCCCTAAATCAATCACGGGTTATTTATCTGGCCTTACGCAAGAAATATTGACAGAAACTACAATGAAGTTTTGATATTTAGTTATTTGTTTTAGGGAAAGATCAGACTTGGAAGTTGTTTTTAATTATCCCTTGTTAAGTTAAGAACGTTTATTTAATATAATTATGTGGACGTAACGTGAAAATTTGCCCGATACGGCACATCAGACAGTAATAATAATAATAAGTGGTTCCTGTTCGTACTTAGTTCACCAAAAGGCATGTTGTTGAAGTCGGTTTTATTGAGTCTATAACTAAAAGTATTAAAATATTTCTTTACTTTCAACGCTACAGTAGTACCAAGGAAATAATTTGAGTGTGAATATGTTATTGAGCGATGGAAGGTGATTTTAGCCGGTAAATACTGTCCTCACGGCAGTCTGTTCAGTGTTCAGGAAAAAATGTAGCTTGATTAAAACTAGACAACATTTATTATAGGTGGTAATCGAAAAATATTTAGTTCTCGGATTTACAAATTTGTAAAATCATTGTGTAGATATAGATATGCTGATCTCGGAATACACGGCCATAATGCCATAACTCTTGGAAAAATTTTAATAGACATGGTTTAAGGTGTTTAGTAAAATAGTTGTACTCACATGGTTTAGTATCAGGTAGATTAGGGGAAGGTTCTGGAGTTTCTACTCTTGTTTCTTGGAGGTTTCTAGAAAACTGTCTGGCTCCCTGATCTACTTCAGCCCTGTCATTAACAGCACTGCTCTCCGACGATGTGTGCCTTCTTTTCAAGATACCTACACAAATATACAGGTATCACAAATCAGGAGTAAAGTAAAAAAGCAAAGAAGCAAAATACTAATTTCCCAAGAATTTAGAGTACTTGCCTAAATTTCCAGAAAACTCATTTCCAGGGAAATTCTAGGAAGCACCGAGATCAGATGACCGCGATTTTCGCTGATATATCTACATTTAACTTTAAGAAAGGAGCTGACCGTGAAATTAAATTATAAGTACTTTTAAGTTACAAATTTAAATACTTTTCTGTAACGTACTTAACTAAAACTAGGAGCAATCTGAACTAGTTTTTAAGTTATCAAGTAGAGCTATGAATAACCGAAAGATCATATCACGCCGATAAACCAGTATAATAACACCCCATTGCGCAGACAAAAGAGCTGCAAAATTGTGCAAACGGAAGCTGTTCACAGATATTAGTACTAAGTCTTAGATATATAACGGAACCCTAATTAGGTAGTGATACAAATTCAATATCTATGCTTCCGAAGAAAGGGGTTGGTGGATGAAAGGATCGAAATTTTGAGGGGATGGATCAACATTTTTGGGGTGAGGGTAAAGTTAGTAGCTGATTAACCGAGGTAACTTTAAAACTTACCGAGTGGTGAATGCTTGATGGGCTGTGGAGCGAGTATATTAGGAGAGGACACATCAAATGTGATGGACCGTGACTGAAAGAAAGGAGAAGAAGGAGCAAGGAGACCCGATCCTGTCTGCTGGACTATGTGGTGGTCCAGGAGTAACTTGTTGTTGGCAGAGTGAAGCTGAGAGTCTGCCAGACTTTGTTGCTGGGCTAGCACTTGCTGCGTTATGTACTGGGGGTGGCATTGGAATTATAATTGGAATTTAAATGTATCAGATATTTAAAATTATTGTTTTGTCAGGTTTAGCTGCTGTAAGGTCGGTAACATTTTAGGTTTGAAACCGTGGAGGGGATCAACCGTCGTGAAATGGGTCGCTTAGTGGTGAAGAATTGTGCACCCAGGTTAGAGGTTAATACAATTCGATACTGTTAAGCCATATAGCCGTTAATTCCCAGCGACATGGCTTTCATCTTGGTTTTTATGATAATTTTGCTGGCTTTCTTTAACTATTTGACAAGCTAGTTAAAGGGTTAGGTAACATGAGCTGATATTTATAAATTTAGAGAGGAGGCGCACAGACAGTAGGCGTACAGACAGTAGGCGTACAGACAGTAGGCGTACAGACAGTAGGCGTACAAACTGTAGGCGTACAGACAGTAGGCGTACAGACAGTAGGCGTACATACTGTAGGCGTACAGACTGTAGGCGTGCATACAGTAGGCGTACAGACAGTATGCGTACTGCAGAAGCGTGGAGCGTACTTCAATTAGAGGCGGAGGCGTGCAGATTAGTGCTAATATTAGTGAGCTCGGTGCGGAGGCGGTGCACGCCTATGTAACCTGGTACTGATTTCATATTTCGGTACCATGACAACCGATTGTCTGGGTTTCACCGCCCTCAACACATTAAAAGCTTTCCGTTCGTGGGAGTTAATGAGCGCTCTCAACTCGGATTCCATCATGGGATAATTATAAAATATGATTAATTACGCAACCCGCGTATAAAACCTAACGGAAGGCGCGATAAAACCAAAACCCCCTCTCTAACATACCTGTGTGACCTGTGACGTATCTCGTAGACTCTGCAAGTACTTGACATGTTCATCCACCAGCACTTTACTACTCCTCCACTCCCCACCCTGGCCTGGGGACCTGTTGTACGGCTTGAATGGGCCTCCTTCCGACCCTATGCTCCGTCTACATAGCGGACTGGTGATGCTGCCCGTGGGGGACCTAACAGTGGAGATGGTTAATTAGTTAATTAGTTAATTGGTTAATTGGTTAATAGATAATCGTAGCTATAAAACGTATATGTGTGCAGTCTTCCTTGAGTTAAAATGTTAAATGTTCCCTGTTAAAAGAACTCAACTTGTCTTAAAACCAGACACTAATTTAAAAGGTTAAAATTGTCTGAGAGTCTAAGAATAACTCTAACAAATCATGGTCTGCTGAGCTTTTTTTCTTAAAACCTCGAACCCTGTCGGGGGCTGCAGAACTTATATGGGGATAACTTCTCTTATCTCAAGATAAGAGGAGCAGCCACCCACAGCATGGAGATTGCTGGACTGCAGTAGATACTGGTAAGCGATAACCCTTAGACAATTTGGCAATTCAATAATTCATCACAATAAACCCTTTTTGTCTTTCTGGGATCGTTCAGATAATATTACGTTACCACTTTTTGGAAATTTTTGCTGCCCTCTCCGTTATCAATTTTACACTTAACTATTCATTAAAAATCATACTATATTGCACAATAATTTGCACAATAATTTGCACAATAATTTGCACAATAATTTGCACAATAATTTGAGATCCCTCCTCCTCAGCCCCCGCAGTAATTACGTATTATATGAACGCTCCCTTTTATTTATAGTAAGAAATAGCCAAATAGCTAGGTTCTCAAATTAACGATTAGCGGCCAATAAAATATATGACAGATAGTGATGCTATTTCTGGAAACCTTTTAAAGAGCACAATAATTACGCCAGCACCATATCTGTTAACTAGTATAAAGACTGGCCAGTTTAGTAGTAGCGCATTTATGAAGTCCCAGGGCCGGTACCAAATTAAACTGCTGCCAGAACTAATAGTTAGAGGGTTGAGCGTGCGAACAGAGCTTGCAAGGAATATAATGGAAAGGGGTGAGGCTGTGATGTTGCAGGATCCCAGGGCTATTAAAGACCTTGCAGGCTGCCAGAAGGCTGCCAGAAGGGTGTAATGGAGCCTGAATAGCTGACCCTCTCTGAGTAAGCTGATAGAGCAAAAGAGCAGGCTGGGGGTGGGAGGAGCGGAGACTCGTGACATATCTTAGGTAAATTGGAATCACAAGGAGTCAAGGTGAAACTTTAGCCCTGTGTGATGAAATTCAATTATGAGCCCCCTGTTGATACCTATGGGTTTGCGGGTGGTATTTTCGTGTGTTCCCGCCAGATTGCTATGAAATGGGTAAAAATAGAACTCTAGCCATATCATATTTGTACCCAATAAAATCATTTGCCGCTTTATCAACTAACATAATTACCACTTTTGTAATATCACATACCCCCGATAAACAAAATAGCGGATAACATACCTGAAGTACTCAGTGGAGGGAGCAGGGGAGTCAGGAGGGTGCCAGGAGGAGGGGGTTTTAAAGGAGGAGGGAGAGGAGGGGCTCTGTTGGGGTACTGGTGACCAGTCTGATCCCTCAGAGATCCGCCTTCGTGGTGATTCTGAGGGGAGTGGAGGTTTAAATTAGGCTTAAATTAGGCTTAGTATTTAGTTAGTATTTTTTAAAGCAATCAGCAGTCTGTTAGATTCCTTCCGTTTATTAATTAAGCAATGTGTTCCTCGAGGAGAAACATTAATAAATTCTGAGCTCCACCACTCTTAGATTTTAGAAAAGGTGCAAACCAGATTGGATAAGAATTTCGCAAATGTCTGAAAGATGATCTAATAATGAAATCATGGGATTATTATACTGGTTAAGGTATAAGAGCTGCAGGTTGAATGAAATGAAAAAGAGAATGAAATCATCGGGGGTGATTCATATTGGTGTCATGGTGCTATATTTGATTGAATTATGCTTTACGTAACCCGTTTTCGTGATCATGACTAATTTTTCAAAAATATGATCTTTTAAGCTTATAGCCTGTGGAATGCGTGTTGTCATAGCGAAAGCAGAAGCAACTATGCTCGGAATTTGGTGGTTAGATCATCTCCAAAATATTGTACGAAGATTATCATTTGATTTATTATTTGACAACAATTTGTCAAATAATAAACAGTATCGTGAATCAAAAACAAGAATTAAGAACTAAAACTGAAGGACAAATAAAAAACTAAATTTTGAAAATTAAAGATACAAATAATTAAAAAATGTAAAATTTTAAAAATACGTATTTTAAAACAAAATAAAAATGACTCCTTACCCAGGTTTGGTGTGGGTATCACGTGTTCGTGTTCAATGTGTTTTTGAAGTAATACAGCGTTGCTGAACCTCCTATTGCAACTCTCTATGTTGCAGATATAGTGTTCCGAGTTGGGCCAATGATGTAACATGTGTGTCTGTCTGAAATGTTAGGAATGTAGTTAGAAAGTGCTAGGGAGAGAAATAAACATTGCTGTTATTTACAAACAATATTGTGCGCAAACAAATTAGGATAGTGCTGACAAAAGGAGTTGACGTCTGACTAAAGTGCAGGCAACTCTAACATGATACAATTTTTAATTGTATTTCAAGATAAAATGCGAGGGTATTTTTCAGCAATTTTAGCCGCCAGCTTCATCAATATCTTAGCGTTTTTTTTGTAAAAAATCGAACCTAATTTAAAGGTCAACTTTAAAGGTGAAAAACTTTAAGGTCGCAGAAATGTATATAATTTTCTGCCACTACACTTACAAAAGTTCTTTCTTGGTGAAGGTTTCAGGGCATATAGGGCAAGGGTATCTGAAAAAATGTTTTATCACCGATTATTCGCGATATCAGATTTTTGGCGTATAAATTCCCGTGATTCATTTTAATTTTATAGCTACTATTTGTTTTCCTTAGAACTGAAGATAATTTAATTCAATTATTCAATTATTCCGAATTTAGAAATTTTCTTATCTTTTAAGCTAGGCAGGTCGCACAGATTGCGAGTGTTGCCTGCCAAAACTCAAATTTAAAATGCCTTAAATTTTAAACAGTGATTGAAAATATTGCGTTATCAGCCAGGGTCTTCAGATCAATAATAGATAAAATAAAATGGACTTCTCTTACTTGATAAGAATAATATGACAAATCTAATGTGTATATAACGAAAATTAAAAAATATCAATAATATTGAATAAAACTATTAAATTAATAAAATCTCACTTGTGGGATTGTTGCTGATGGATTATGAGTTGGGCCTGAGAGCCGCATATTTTGCTGCAAATGTTGCACACGAAATGCGTGTCCAGTTTTCCTCCGCCTACATCTGAAAAAAATAGAAGGTTTTAAGATTTCAGAGCATTTACAGGGTAATAAACAAACATCACCCTATATTAAATATTTATGCGATTCCGCAGAATTTCCAACGAAGTTGACACCTTAATAACCCAGATAATAGATGCCATAATATATACTGATAATAGATACGTAATAGATACGTAATGGATACCACAATAGATACTAAAATAAAGTAATAGATACCATTATATTATTCAATTAAAGGTTAGACCGAGGGACTATTTCAGAAATAGTTCAAACATTGCACTGCCATATTGGACTACATCTTTACAGCATGCCATGGATGATCTAATGGGAAAATCATACGCAGTGGCAGAAAAATGTGAGCTATTTCGGCGGCGACGGTTTGCGTATGAACCTGCATGAAGTGCGGAGGAATATGAAAGCAAAGTGATTTATTGAACGAGTGATCTGTCAGAGAGTAGCGGACCCTGTTGTTGTTACTGAAGACAGAGCATTCCAGAGCTACTGCAGATATTATAGGTATATAACGGAACAATGCGGACAGTTACAATTAAGTGATATCCTGGGCTACAACCAGGTAATGAACTGGGTCTAAGATGCGATCCAATTCCACCGAAGTATTCAATGATGAATCTAATTATCTCGGCAGCAAGTTTTGGATTATATTCAATTTTTCCAGAACCTCCTCGAACTGGAAGAGAAAATTTTTAAACAATGTGAATTACCCCTGCACAGTTTATAAAAATGCCATCTGGCAAAGAAGGAGTCATGGGACCCAACCTCATCAGTCCGTTCAGCTGCAAGTGTTCCCACGGTGTTATCTTACAGACTACAGCACTGGCAGTTACAACAATTATCACACTTTAGGGCCTGATTTGACAACATTCAGAGCAGCTGCTTTTCAGGCTGGAGGAGGGCCAGAAAAGTGGGGCCGAGCCCTGGTGCTGGCCTTGTCACCTAGTTGTCTAGACATCCAGAAATTCCTGGAATTCCAGGCAAATCATGGTGCACGGTTGGGTTTTGATGACCTGGTCAGTTGCCTCATCTATCATAAAAGGTAATGTCACCATGGTGACAACAAACTCGACCATATAAGGTAATGTTTGGTTAATAATGACCTGGCTAGAAGCCTCCTCTATCGGGAGCAGAACTGTTTCTGTAGAAAAGGTCCGATACAAAGCTAAACTGAGTGCTGACTTTTCTACAGAAACAATCAGTAAAACTATACGATTGAATCCTGCAGAGGAACCCCTGTAATAATTGCAACATTCCAGCTTCTCTCTATCGGGTTAAGAAGGCACACATTACGTAACTGTGTGTGCAAGGCATGATGACATGTCTCTCTCTCTCTGGAGCATGGTAACTAAGGCACTTTAGTCAGGTCTTGTCAGTATGAGCTGGAAAGCCCAACTAGCTCCGCTGACATGTGAGTTATAGGTTGTTCACTTTGTTGCATTCCTTGTTCACATGGTAACAAATTCTGTCGAATTCCTAGTGCTAATTTTCCTTGCAGGCACTAATATTTAAATATACAATATATATACTATTTTTTCAATAAACAGTCGGTTATATCACGTACGGATAACACATACGGTTACAAAAAATTCATCGTCAACATAATATGTGCATAAGGTGAGATATGTGAAAACGACGAAGGGAAAGGTTTGAATTCATTCCAATATGGTTTGGAGATATGCCAATATGATCATTGATCAGTAGTATTACCTGAATTAGGGCTCATCAAATGAGAGAGGATGATGGGGAAATAAGTATCGACGACCATTACAATGCTTCTGTATTAAATTAAAAGTTTAATTCACAATCATAATAGTATTAAAATAAGGAATCATGTATGGAACACAGTCAAATTAAAAATCAAGAGCAAAATGTTTTCCAATCAGGACACATCAATTTAAACAGTTTGAGTTTGCAAAAGCAAAAGACCTTGCTATCAGGTCGCTTCAAGTTAAACAGGTCGATCTAGCAACTTGCAAATTTAAACAGATTGCCACCATAAAACGGTACATACTAATATAATGATTAAGATTTAAGATCTATTTTGCAATCGTTAAGCAATCAAATAGTCTAAAAGTTTAAAGTGATCAGGCCTCGACGTCAAACATTGCAACTGCCAAACCGTTACAACTATAAGGTAACAGCTAAAATTATTACAAGATCAAATTAAAATTCAGACGGTAAGATTTATCAGTATTCCACATGAGAGATGCTCTTCGAGACACCTTTAAATGGAGGGGAATTACACTTGTAACGTCTAGTTCCTACTAATCGTCAGTCATGAAAACAGGGCTGGAGATCTCCTCTAAAAAACGTGACGCGAGGCTTTCTGAAACCTTATTCCGTCTGGTTCGGTGTATGTTCCAGGGGGACAGGGAAAGGGAAACCTGGGCCGGGTCTAATGGCCAAGGGCTAGTCTGTTGGATAGAGCAGTCTCCTACAACATAGCAGTGCAATGCTGCTAATGATGTTGTGATACTGCGCAAAATTCTAATTAATGAAGTAGTTCGTGACTAATGGGTCGTTCACAAAATTAGTACTGTTCAAAAACAGATTCTCGTGTTTCAAAACAAGAAAGATCAAAACGGAGACTCCGTTGACAGCAACCTTAATTAATCGAACCTGTCAGAAAACCGACAGATAACTTCTTCTTGCATAAACATGAAGATTGACAGAGCAATCGAGAAGATACCAAAAATATGCTCACATTAATCAAGTTAAAACTCGAATCAAGGAAGATTCTCAAAAACAACTATGCAGCAGTTAACTTTGGCACAGTTAAAAAAAATCATCACATCAGTAGTGAAAAAACGCTCACCGACAGACGCGAGCGTGATGAAATACGTAATGTGGAATGAAAATCAATATGGTCGCAGAGAGAGAGAGAGAGAGAGAGAGAGAGAGAGAGAGAGAGAGAGAGAGAGAGAGAGAGAGGGGGTTTATGTGACATCATTCAACGGAATGTTCTCAGAAAATTAGTATCTGCTGGCTCCGTTCCAGCCCTCTCTCCAAACTGCCAGTGCCTGGGCAACAGTCCACCAAACAGAGTCCACATGATAAGGGTTAGCTCCGCCAGGGTAACCACTCCAAGCTACTGGTCAGGTCCGACCGGTTAATCAGGACGCCATTTTAACCTCACCCTGTCAAAAGAACGGAGCTCCCGGCCGCCAGTGATAGCGGGTAACCGGAAAAGGATGGCTATCAGCTCTGGCTGGGATCCAGCACAGTTATAGGTATGCGAATTGCAGAACTCGTGGCCCTGCAAAATAATAATAAACACGCACGGTTTAGAGGTCAGTCAATGATCAATAGAGGCGTTCTGAGGAGGATGTTGGAAAATAAGAGAGAGAAGAGAGAGAGAGAGGAGAGAAAAAAGAGAGAGCTCACTCACACGGTGAGCAGCAGTGTGTCACGAGATTACAACAGTAAGACGGGAGTGAAGCTGTGCAAAACTTGGCAGCATTCATCAGAAATACGCTCTCTTACAACTCATATATATGATTAAACGCGTACAATATATATATATAGTATATACCGCAGCCCACCGCCTAATTCGCTCTCTGCAAAAGAGATAAAAGATGGATAACGTGTAACAAATTACGGTATTTTCGTTGCTAAGAGTAAATGAGAAGGAGAGACAAAGGCAAAACATCAAGAGATACGACTAAATACCAGGCAAAACTTCCAAAATATAAAACCCGGAAATAAGTTGCAGTAGGGCAGCGAGCTGCAGCAGGACAAACTACTATCACTACAGTGGGACGTGAGATACGATTCGGAGCACTGCTCTGTTGTTCGCAAGTAAAATTCAGCACAAAACAGTTCTCTCAGAGAGACCTGCGGGCACATTGCCAGTCAAGCACATTTTAACACTTGTCACGAGATATATAATATGCCATAACGTACGGGGAGAGAGAGCTGCTCTCTCTCTCTCTCTCTCTCTCTCTCTCTCTCAGCTTTTATAATAGCCTCTCGTACTGAATCAGCTGCAAAAGAATGTTCCGGCGTATTTTGGTGCAGCGCCAATGTTATTTCCCCGGACTTTGTTTAACAGCAGTGGGTGCTAGTTCAGACGAAACTTAGGAAATTCAAATATCGGAGAAATATTAGAGCCGGCTGGATTTAACGAGAAACTTGTGGAGATTTCTGAGTAGCGCTCTTATCTGGTTGTTTAGGTGGAAGTTGTGGTGAGGTACGGAGGAGACTTACGAGTGAGAATTTAAACAGCTATTATAGTAGATTCGTGTGACGTGGATCAGGAGTACGTAATGCATGGTGAAAGTGTTTTAACAGCTCCCTCCCAGCAATGCACGAGATCTACAGTGTTGCAATACTGCCTATCAAGAAATCACGGGGGCCTGCTCTGCAGTCCATGAGATCTGTGTGACGAATGAGGACGACATTCGAAAGAACTAATAGGATGAGGACGACAACGTTCGTAAGAATTAAGAATATCGGGAAAATATACCATCTGAGCGACCAGTCGCCCACAACAAGTGATGGGAATCTAATTAAGACACTTGGAGTAATCTTATTTGTTGGCTGGAGGTACTGACGGATGGAGCCAGATGATTGGTCCTCCTACAGGACACGTTCACTGTAAAACAAAACCAAAAGACGGCCATGTTTTGAGGGTATGAATGCTGGGAAATATATCGTGTAATAGACCGGACTGCGATTAAACTCCGAGCTTATCGTTTCCTTCAGGTCAGTTGGGATGCAACTTATCGTCCTACCGTCCGGTGAAACATTTAGCTAACAACTGTAATATTACCAATTACCATATATGGTAATGTTGCCATGGTAATTTTACCGTATAAGGAGATGTGCAGTGAACAGCTGTAATCGGGATTTATAGTAGGTTGCTGTAATTACAATTCATAATCAGTCCAATTAATAGCACTAAACAATACTGGCACGTATACGATGTTCGTTATTTTAGGAAATTCAGAAAAAGAAACGTTCATCAGTTCATTCAGGCGAGCCACA